AGGAGGAGGAGGAGGAGGAGGAGGAGGAGGAGGAGGAGGAGGAGGAGGAGGAGGTTCTGGCTTGTACTGTGCTTTACACAGTGATGGTGTGTTCAAGTGTGTTAGTGGACACAGATGTGTTTGAACTTCATTCACCAGAGTGGAGCTGAGGCTTGGAGTCAGAGCAGCTGTTGGTCTCACTGAGTGAAATGAGGTTGTGTGGGTTTCTGTCACTGCCACGGGCTACAGCAGTGTTTTGTGTCTGTGTTTGTGTTGCTGTCGTCAGTCTTATCTGTCAGGTTGCGACACAGCTCCTCCCAGTGGTGGAATGAACTCCGTCCACCATGTTGTTTTCCTCCCCTTTTTTTTTTTTTTTTTTGTGCAAAAAGTCATGGTGACAACATCCATCTTAAAAAAAAAAAATCCGACCCCTGTCGTGTTTCAGGTGCCATTCTCTCTTCTTTTCCTCTCTCTCTTTGTAAAAAAAAAAAAAACCGAAACTGATTTTCATGGCTTCAAGCCATTACTTCTGTAGATGTTGATGAGGACCGTTAATCTGTTTGCAGTCGTAATCCTTAATGCACTCACACAGGCCGCCCTTTTAAAATGGAAATTGTGACGATAGGAAAGTAAACGGAAAAGGAACTTCTAACCTTGATGCTGTAAAACATTTCCTTTCTCTTTTCTCAGTGGTGAATTCACCAACGTAGTTAAGGTGTTTTTTTTAAATCTCACCATCATTTTTTTCCACCTTTGCCACAAGAGACTAAAGCAGAACAGAATTGTTTGTTTCATTCATTACAGAGAACTTTCACTTTTTAGATGAAGAGTTTGTTGTGCCTCCCTGGTCATTTCTGTTCTGTATGGTTTGTCATTTCCTCAACTTCTCTCTCTCTCTCTCTCTCTATCGCCTTGTTAGAATAATACTGTGCCCTTTTGCATGACTGTTATAAACTCTGTATACAAAGATGGCGATGTTAAGTGCCACATAAGCCGGGCAGGTCTGCAGGGGAAGCACCCAGGCTCTTTCTCTTCTACCTTTTTGTGGTATATCACACCTCCCAGTCACATGGTCCTTTTCTATGTGTCCATTCTCTTTCTCTTTGTTGTTGTTATTTTTTTTTTTTTTCCCGTCTCCTCATTCTTAGCCAAGACCCACATGCATGCACAGATGTGGTATTGTGGTCGCAAATAGGAGACTAACCATATATCTTATACTTATGCCCAGTGAAGAAAAAGAAAAAGAAAAGAAAGAACACAGAACTCCTGTTCCTGTGCTGAATACTATAGAGGCATGACGAATCACATACCCCACTCTAAAATAATTGCTTTTCTTGCACATTTTTATGCTGATTACTGTTGGCAGTGTCAGTACCAGCAGACGACTGCTTGAAACTAAAAAGAGAAAACAAAATACTACAAACTGAAACAGAATTACAATTATTTCACACACCGGTGATTGAAGACTGTTGAATTAGAGGTTTTTCCGGGGGTGGGGGGTGTAAGTGACAGTGAGGCCCCTTCAACAACACCCTGTCACTTGAGTTGCACTGCAGCTGCTGTTCATCCAGGCCTGAGTTAGAATTTATCACAGCAACGTTAAAAAGAAAAAAGCCACAATAAAACAGTACATGATTGTGTTACATTTACACCAAAATGCCCTTTAAAACATTTCAATAAAAATCAAAAGCTACCTGAAAAGATTCTTGGAGAATCCAAGCGTTCTGGCACTTAGAGAAATTAATTATTTAATTAAAACTGCTTTGGATGGCCATCCGTTTTTACGTAACTGTGTTTTCAGTCTTTGATTAGAGATACATTTTACATTGAACATTGAACAAACGTTTATGTCAAACAGAATCAGAAGTGGTCAGCACCAAATAAAAATCGTTAGTTTGGATGTCTGTAAAAATGTTCAGTTGAGTTGAGCAGAGAGAGTTGTATTTTCTTGTTTGTTATAACATACAGTAACTAGTAGATTTTCGGCAGACAGCCACGAGAAGGCAACAAATCCACGATTTACCTGTTTCTGTCTGACAAAAAAAATGTAAAATTAATTCGACCTGTATTGAATGTTATGGCTAACATATGAATTAAGACGTACCAACGGACCCGTGCAGTTAGAAACTTGATTGTCAATCACATTTATTTTAAGGTAAATATATTAATTAAAACCCATTTGTGTTGCAAAAGCATAGGTTAATAGTACTACAGCCAATAGAGGAAAAGTAACAACTTAGAGCTGGAGAAAGAACATTATTCTGTGCTGTTGGCTGATGGCTATGTTCTGTATGTTTCCAGGAGAGTATGCAGAGAAAGAGATTAGCAAAGAAGAGATGGTACAGTGACAGAACAGAAGAGAACAGACTGGGGTACAAAAAGAGGACAAGGGAGGTGAAGGGGGAAGTGGCCAAGGCCAAACAAAAGGCATATAAGGAGTTGTATGAGATTTTGGACACAAAGGAAGGAGAAAATGAGTTGTATAGATTGGTGAGACAGAGAAATCAAGCTGGGAAGGATGTGCAGCAGGTGAGGTTGATTAAGGACAGAGAGGGGAATGTAATCACAAGTGAGGAAAGTTTGTTGAGAAGATGGAAAGAATACTTTGAGGAGTTGTTGAATGAGGAAAATGAAAGGGAAAGTAGAAATGAGGAACCGGAGACTATTGGGAAGAAGGTAGATCAGATTAGAAAGGATGAAGTAAGAAAAGCCCTAAAGAGGATGAAGAGTGGGAAGTCAGTTGGTCCCAATAACATACCAGTGGAAGTATGGAAGTGTTTAGAGAAGTGGCGGTAGATTTCCTGACTGGGTTGTTTAACAGAATTTTAGAGACCGACCAGTTGCCTGATGAGTGGAGGAAAAGTGTTCAGATGTCAATTAAAAGAAAAAAGCATTACAGTTTATGGTTCACCACACTTTGGTTTAACACACTTTGGTAACTAACTATAAATTCTATTTACAGCGAGACAGAGAACTCAAGCTGGGAAGGATGTGCAGCAGGTGAGGTTGATTAAGGACAGAGAGGGGAATGTAATCACAAGTGAGGAAAGTGTGCTGAGAAGATGGAAGGAATACTTTCAGGAGTTGTTGAATGAGGAAAATTAAAGGGAAAGTAGAAATGAGGAACCAGAGACTATTGGGAAGAAGGTAGATCAGATTAGAAAGGATGAAGTAAGAAAAGCCCTGAAGAGGATGAAAAGTGGAAAGTCAGTTGGTCCCGATAACATACCAGTGAAAGTATGGAAGTGTTTAGGAGAAGTGGAGGTAGATTTCCTGACTAGGTTGTTTAACAGAATGTTAGAGACAGATAAGATGCCTGATGAGTGGAGGAAACGTGTTATGGTGCCAATTCATAAGAAGGGTGATGTACATAGTTGTAACCTGTAGTGAGAGTAGGCAGCAGCTAGAAGAGAACCTAGAGAGGTGGAGGTTTGCACTAGAAAGAAGATGAATGAAAGTCAGTGAAATACTGAGGCTACAAGGAGCAGAGGTGGTGAAGGTGCAGGAGTTTAGGTACTTAGGATCAACTGTTCAGAACAGAGAAGACTGTGGAAGAGAAGTAAAGAATAGAGTACAGGCAGGATGGAACAGCTGGAATAAAGTGTCAGGAGTGATCTGTGATAGAAGAGTGTCAGCTAAGGTGAAGGGAAATGTTTACAGGACGGTGGTGAGACCAACCAGGATGTATGGTTTAGAGACAGTAGCAATAGGCAGAAGACAGGAGGCGGAGCTGGAGCTGGCAGAGATAAAGATGCTAAGAGTCTCTTTAGGAGTTACAAGAATGGACAAGATCAGGAATGAGGTCATTAGAGGGACAACACAAACAGGAAGGTTTGGATAAAAAGCTAGAGAAGCCAGATTGAGATGATTTGGACATATGCAGAGGAGGGACAGTGGATACATTGGTAGAAGAATGTTAAAGATGGAGCTACCACGTAGGAGACAAAGTGGAAGGCCAAAGAGGAGATATATGGATGCAGTGAGGGAGGACATACAGATAGTTGGAGTCAGAGTAGAAGATACAGAGAACAGGGAGAGATGGAAAACACTGATTCGCTGTGGCAAACCCTGAAAAAAGGGACAACGCCAAAAGAAAAAGAAGAAGATACACACTCACAATATAAATATATTTCTTGAATATATAAACATGATTTGTTTATATATTTCTTATATATACATACTATATACACACTTGTACATATACTGTATATACATATATATACATATACATACACACATATATACATATACATGATAAAATAATAATAAATACGTCTGTGGCTTTATTTTTTCTCTAGGTCTGTAGACTGACACGTCTACAGACCTCACACACATGAACCTACCAGTGATAGACGTTAAGACCTAAAGCCAGGCTGGAAATGTGCTGTCTCTTGAAAGATGAGATCCTTCAATGTCTCTTTGGGCAGATCATCCAGTTCCATCTCAAACTTGAATGGCACCTCAGCCACCGGGTACAAGGGCCACACACAGAAGTTACAGTCACAGTGACCTGGAGCCACCTCCATATGACAGTACGACAGCCTGCCTGCTACTGAGACATATGTGAGGAGGAGAAACCATGGACCTCTTGGGACAAGCACTAATGGTTTGTTGTTTTTTTATTTTTTATAAGGAAGTGGAGATGTGGGGAAATAGGAGACAGCCTGTGTTTGTTGATTTAATTTGTAAGACACTGATATATTAGGAAAAAAGAGACAAAACATGAGATTTGTGTTGAAACATGGAAGTTAATGTGGTTTTTAGTAGTTTATTCACAGGAGTTAAATGTTTAAGGAAATATTATAGATGGTATCATTTTGCTGTCAAATGCTGTGTCTATTTAAGTTGTGTTCTGTTACAAAGGCAAACCTTTAGTGTGTGACATCAATTCTTTCCCATCTAACCTTTAACTGTGTTTACAAAGTTTAATGTTGTCACGGCAAAGGTTCAAGCTGCGTTCTTATTTAATTACAATTTCACACTATTTTTCTATACATTATTTGGTGCTATTCAGCTAAGCTAAGGCTAACTTTAGTCTATTTCTGGTTAAGTGTAATGAATATATTCTTCTATATCGAGATGGTACGGAGCCCCTAAAGGGACATGTGGGGAAAAATGAAACATATTTCGTGAGCACGAGAAATCTTAGGTTAAGCACAGGCAGTTGTGCTTCCTGTGCGTATGCCCATGGGCTGTTTCTTTCTTTCCTGAAGTATTATCCATTCTTATTATTATATATTTCGTAAGAAGGTTCATGTTATTTCGTAATAAGTTTCACGTAATTACGTGATAACTTTCACGTTACAGTGGTGCCTCTCTTTATCGCGGTTCTACGATCTTCCAACTGTTCCAGGAATCCAACGTGTACCCGGCCGGGAAGGTTCCGTCAGGGCAGCCGGGTTCTCCTTTACCCGTTTTCATGGTTGAGAAAATATGATCAATTGCGTTGAGAGACCAGTTTACCAGATCCATCATTTTGGTTTTGGAGGAAAATGCAGAGAGAGGCTCCGAGATAGTTTGACAGAGACGGTACAAGACACAGAGCAGTAGCAGGGCAGATAAGGGCAGGAGGGGAGGAAAGGAGCAAGGGAAAAAGCGTCCGCCTTCTTCGAGAGCCGGAAGAAAGAGATATATATATATGTATATGTATAAATGTTATATGTATAAAATCAATTCCTTCATTCTCGACAACTCAAGAGAATAGAAGGTCTCTGGTGGTTGGGCTTGGTTCACCATGCTTGCACTTTTGCTACGAGTTTTAAGTTGTTGCCTATAATTAATGTTGTGAATGTGATGGACAAGAATTACGTCACTTAGGTCATGAAGGTACAGTGTATTTAGTAAAGGTCTATTTAAATGTCTTGGCAGAGTTGGAAAAAAAAAAGAAGAAACAAAAGATATTTTAAAAATGGCAGTCAGCAACAGCAAAAGAAATGCTTCAAGTCAAATTATTCACACAATAAAATAAAAACTGACAGTTCAATTCAAACAATGTCCATGGCAAATCAAATACAACCGATGGTGTCACTGCTTATTTTTCTTCTTTCTGAAACATTAATTACACAATTAAAGGTTTATACTGATCAAAACAAACAAGAGTGAAGTAGTTCAACTGGAGACGACTAAAACCAGATTAGTGTCCGATAGAAACATAACGATCATTTTACAATAAAAATATCTGCACAAAAACAGCCAAAAAAAGACTCAAGGAAAAGGGTAATGCAAAAAAATATAAATGTTTGCTTTTTGTGGAGGGGCGGGGGGTTAAAAGTTACGTGACTATTATTAAGGAGGTATAAGCTCGACAACACCACCCTGGGAATTTCACCCAGGGAATTGCTCAAACACAAGGCACAACGGTTCGTGGTTACTGGAGGGCAAGAGCCGTGGTTCATAGTTTGAAAATACAAATTTTATTCAACATTTGTTTTTAAAAAGTATACTCCGTAAAACTCATTCACAAATAAAAGAGAAACCTAATCAGGGCTGAGGCCGAAGTGGATGGGCAGGGGCTAGTGCAGGGGCAGGATCCACCAAAATAAGGCAAAAATAACTTAAATTACCAGGCACACGTGGCAAACACACCCTCAGTGAAGAAACCCACTCCTAGGGACACAGCAAGATACGACGGGAGGACACCACCACCAGGTCACCAGCACCGCCACCACCGGCCTACAGCAACTGAAGAGGAAAAAGAATAGCACATTAGTGGGGTAGTCCCCAATAAAAGAAAAAAATGCTTATGCCCGGACCACGGTGTACGGCCGAACAATCGCCCTGCACAGCGTATATCTTGGAAGCCGTGAAGCCACAGACGGCCACAGAAGAACGCCATAGGCAGCAACAGATAAACGGCAATACAGTGAAAGCAGCACAAAATAACACCAAACAAAGCAGCAGCGGCCCAATGAGGTGGTTACAACACCTCTAATAAAGGAAAACATTATTAGAATGTGCTAGATGTACTAAGAACACACACAGAACACACACACTCACGAGGAGGAAAGATTGGACTCCAGGCAGCCGCCTGACCCAGAAGTAACACGGGTGATGACGGGAGCGCAGAGGAAGACCCGGTAGGCGGACTACCGTTTTTATACCGGCTCACCTCAACGACTAGCAGAAGTGAGGAAGGGAAACCATAGCAACAGTCAACAGAAAGAGCGAGGGGAAAAACAAGACAAAAACGCTCGTACTGCTACATTAAGAACATTAACTTGGACTCTCTTGCCTCTAGTATTTACCCCCTCATGGATTTTCACAATCTAACAACCCCCGAAGAACTAGTCTCCCATTACAACGTTGGACTTCAACACAGACTCAACTCTTTTGCTCTGCTAAAAAACAGGTCTGTTTCCTTCTCCCGTTCTGCCCCCTGGTACAGTATATGTCTGAACTTCGACTCATGAAAGCCAAAGGCTGACAACTTGAACAGCTCCAACGCAAATCTGGACTCACTATTCACAAAGACATTTTCAAAAATCACATGCTGCACTACAAGGACTGTATCACCCAAACAAAATCCAACTACTACACTAGTTTAATCTGTTCACATGAAGGTAAGACTAAATCACTATACTCACTGTATGAGAAGATTGTCCAAGCCCCAGACTCTCTACCATCTCATCTGTACTCAACTGTATTCTGTAACTCCCTCGTGGCATTTTTTGATGAAAAGATCCAGTTGTGGACTAAGACTAAGCATCTTTGTCCACAACCCACCTCCAACACTACATCTGAACTCCCCCCTTCTACCCACTCCTTTTCCTCCTTTCTGCTTACCTCCACCTCAATGATCTAAGATCTTATCTACAAGTCTAAGCCCTCCACCTGTCAGCTGGATCCTCTCCCCACAGATTTAGTTAAAGATTGCCTCCCTTCTCTCGTCCCTCTCATTTCTGCCATCCTTCACTCCTCTCTTACCACTTGGACTGTTCAAAATTGCTGCAATAACCCCAATTCTGAAAAAAACTGGCACTGACCCTACCAATTTTAATAACCTACGTCCAATCTCCAACTCTAATCTCTAAAGATCCTCGAGGAAATAGTAGCAACTCAACTCAACGCCCATCTCTCCAACAATAACCTCTATGAACAGTTCCAATCTGGCTTCTGCTCCCTTCATAGTACAGAAACTGCCCTCATTAAAATCACCAATGACCTCCTCATGGCAGCTGATTCTGGTTTACTCTCCATCCTCATCCTCCTTGATCTAACAGCTTTTGGCACCATTTGTCATTCCACCCTCCTCAATAGACTCTCTGCCCTTGGTATCACTCAGACCCCTCTAAACTGGTTTAAATCATACCTGTTGTGCCACATTCAGTTTATCCAGCTAAAAACATCACAGCCCTCTTCTGTCACTTCAGGTGTGCCCCAGGGCTCTGTCCTGAGTCCCCTTCTGTTCATCATCTATCTTCTCCCCCTTGGTAAAATATTTCGCAAACACTCCACAAACTCCCACTGCTACGCCGATGACACCCAGCTCTACCTAGCCAGCACACCCGACTCCAACCTCCTGCTCCCTTCTCTTTTAGACTGCTTGACTGAAATAAAGTCCTGGTTCATCTCAAATTTTCTTAAACTAAACAGTAACAAAATGGTACTCATTGGTACCAAATCAACGTGTTCAAAAACCAACAGTTTCTCTATTGATATCGACAACTGCTCCATTTCCCCGTCCCCACAGGTTAAGAGTCTGGGTGTCATCTTCTCAGTCTTATATCAACAACGTCACCCGATCCACCTATTTCCACTTATGCAATATCAACCACCTCCGCCCCTCCCTCACTTCCCATACCACTTCGATCCTGGTTCACAGCCTTGTTACCTCCCGCCTTGACCATTGCAACTCCCTCCTCTTTGGTCTCACTCACAAGTTTCTTCATAAGCTCCAACTGGTCCAGAACTCAGCTGCCCTTATCATTATTAGAACCCCATCCATCCACCACATCACTCCGGTCCTGCAACAGCTTCATGGGCTCCTGATCAAGTTCCGTATTAACTACAAAATCCTTCTGCTCACATTTAAAGCCATCCACAACTCTGCTCCACCATACATCTCAGATCTCCTTCATGTCGCTGTTCCCTCCCACTTCCTCAGATCATCCTCCTCCATTCATCTGACTGTCCCCTCTGCCCGTCTCACCACCATGGGTTACAGAGCTTTCAGTCGCTCTGCTGCTCCCCAGCTTTCAAACTCTCTACCCCCTATCTTGAGGAACATCAATTCACTTTCACAATTCAAGTCTGCACTTAAAACTTATCTGTTTACAATTGCCTTCTCCATCTGATATTTCACTGTTGTATTTTAACTTGTTCTTAACGTTTTAATGTTTTACTGTTTTTTACTGCTGTGTTGTTATCTTTGTAATCACTGTAAGTTCCTTGGGTGACAGAAAGGAGCCTGCAATTTTTTTTTTTAACACACGTATAGGGCAATGTTTTTCTTTTAACACACAAATTGGGTTTT